TCTCTCTCTCTCTCTCTGTCTCTCTCTCTCTCTCCCTCTCTCTCTCACTTAATTTTGCTATTACTTTATAACAGTTGTGGTCCTCATTTTAATTTTATTTATCTCTGCTGTGATTTTCCATAATTCTCTCTCTCCATTTCTTTTCCTCCCACGACCGACGTATCTCCCCTCAAGTCTCAACCCAACAGTGGACATCGGACAAGTGGAGGGAGCCTTTGTGATGGGCCTGGGCTGCTACCTGTCGGAGGATATCCTGTTTGACGGGACGACTGGCCGAATTCTCAATGACGGAACCTGGGTAGGTGTTGATATATGGGTACATTGTTCGTGTTTCGTACCATTTCCTAGGAGTGTTTTTACCATTTTCTAGGAGTGTTTTTGAACCGCACGAGATGAAAGGACGGGTGAGTGTTGTGATGTAGCGGCTAGCACAATAAGAAAGACATCCATGAACGGCTGTTCCGAGACATCCATGAACGGCTGTTCCGAGACATCCATGAACGGTTGTTCTGAGACATCCATGAACGGCTGTTCTGAGACATCCATGAACGGTTGTTCTGAGACATCCATGAACGGTTGTTCCGAGACATCCATGAACGGTTGTTCTGAGACTCTCTTTAATAAATGTTTTCTCACACCGTCTGATCTTTTCTGTTCTCCCCACCACCAAACTTCCAGGAATACAAGCCGCCCACGACCAAAGACATCCCGATAGACTGGAGGATCCACCTGTTGCCCGACACCCCCAACCCCGTGGGAATCCGGAGCTCTAAGGGTCAGTGACAAACCCAAGTCTCTGTAAACATTCAGGGAGAGGGCAGTGACAAACCCACGTCTGTGTAAACATTCAGGGAGAGGGCAGTGTGGTTGGTGATAACATGTTTGAGATGTCATGGAACAATTGGGAGGCAATAATGGAAAAAATCGGAGGCGCCATGGAAGAAATCAGTCGGATGTAGCTAATCCTGGGGCGGAGATTTTGCTGAATAAAGGGAAAGAATCAGATTTTAATGGAAAATTATTTTGTCCTGGTTGGCAAGCACTATTCTAGAATTAATTGGTTACGTGCAATAAGTAAGACTATAAGGGTGTGTGTACGTGTGTCTGGAGAGGTTGGGAGAGTGGGGGGGGGGGGGGGGAGTAGTTGTGGAGGGGGTGGGGTATAGATATACCAGTAGAACAAAATTTTTCTCAGAAAAGTTGATCCTAAAATGAACCTTGATAGCAGACGGAAATGTTGGCTTGGACGTCTTCAGCAAGATCATAATGTGATGTTTGGTGTGACTTAAAGTTCTGTTGTTGTTATTTCAAAGTCAGATAATCATTTGGGAATTAGAAATTTGTTATTTCAGGGGGGAAAAAAACCTCAACTAGATAGTGTAAATAGGCATATAGAAATGTTAAGGCCCACCTATAGTTCATGAATGAATTGTATTGTACGTGAAAATATATTTTTCATTTGCTGGCCCTAAAACCTGAAACTGAAACACCATCCCTCCAAATTTGAAAGAAACAGAAAATACTGAGTCTTTTGAAACTTTTTGGAAAACACATCTTTTAGATCATGAATACTGTCTTTCTCTCTTCAACGAATTTCATTTTCTTTTTTCAATGAATACTGTCATTTTTTGTCTGTGTAATGATTGTTCAGTGCTTAGAATTTATTTCCTGATGGAATAGAACACTATCTAAATGTTATGTATTATTATTATTCGTTATTAAAAGATACATTATGTGCTGTCTCCAGCAACGGGCGAGCCTCCTATCTGCCTCTCGGTGGGAGCTCTCCTCGCCAACAAACTGGCCATCAACTCCGCCCGCAAAGACCTGTTTGATGCAGACGACTATATCCCCTCAGGTGAGTTGTGTGTTTGTTGTTGGGTTTTTTTAATTGGTTATTTGATTAAAAGAAAGAAGATTCCCTGGCTTTATATTTCATCATTTGAGCTATCTCTCTAAACAGAAAACATGTCTTAACAGAAGATAATCCTACTGTTTCGCAATTAAAATATTAAGTTCACGTCCATCAGCTGAGCTGGCAGTCGACATTGCTGGGTCGTTTAACACTTTGCCCTCGCGGGACTCCGATCAGCGACGGTGTGATACAGCAACAAAACGTTGCAGCAATGATCTCCTTTTTGACATAAGTTCTTGTTAAAGTTATATTTCCTTTCTTAGTGGTCTGTGTGGCCTTTGAGGTCGAAAATTTTTTTGTGTACAACAATTGAAGTAATTTTTTGGGGAAAAATATCAAGTAAACCTATATATATTTATACACTTGCTCCCGTGCCTGTTTCAGTTGCCCCGTTTACAGTGGAGAGAGCTCAGCAGAGCGTGGGACTGACAACAGAGAACTTCATCGTGTAGCTGTGGGTGTGTGTGCTCTGGGTGTGTGAGGGACTGTCGACGGAGAACTTCACCGTGTAGCTGTGGGTGTGTGTGTGCTCTAGGTGTGTGTGGGACTGTCGACGGAGAACTTCACCGTGTAGCTCTGGGTGTGCATGTTTCGGTTGTGCTGCTCTGAATGTGTCTGCTCTGGATGTGTGTGAGACTGTCGACGGAGAACTTCACCGTGTAGCTACAGACGTGTGTGCTTTGGGTGTGCGTGGGTCTATCAATGAATAACTTCACTGTGTGTGCTCGGGGCGTGCTGGACCTATTCTTGGACACGTCAATGGCAGAGTTCTATACCGATAGATCTACATCTTTCACTTGTCGTTTTATCTTCATGTAGATTTTCTTTTAAAATGATTATTGGATTAATTTTTTTTTTAATGTTCAGCTCTGTATCCTGTTCTTGTGTATTCAGTGAAAAAAAGTTATTGTATGTTATTCTCTGACGGCTTCAGTCATTCTCTATATCATGCTCTTATTGTTGATGTGTTTGAAGAGAAATTGTGCTTTCATGACGAATTTAACGACTGCGTTATGCGGATGGTCGTTTTTAATATTTTTAAATTATGAAATGATTCTACAGACAATTAACTTAACCAGCTGGGTTTGAGTCTTTGATGACAACGTTTGCACGTGGTAAGTGGGGGGGGAGTTTTTTGTACCACACCACTAAACACCACTGTACTAAACAGGCTGGCAAAGCTGGTGACGTTTATGGATGCTGTAGACGATTTCAATTTCAGACAGAATTTTTTGATAATTGTCAGATTTCCACATTTCCTTCAATTGGCTGGCTAGGTGCAAAACTCTTGACAGATTCCATGCAAAACTGCAAAATGGCATATTTCAGAGTTTTGCATCTAGCCATTGATTTTCACAGTACCAGATGTGATCTTTTCATCAAGCATCACATTTGAACGATCATACTATTCATACTGTTCTGCTGGCATTACAAGTCATGCCTCTTTTTCCCCTCGATTTTCTATTTTAGATGTTACATCATGCTCTGTTTAAGCTTTGAGATTGTGGGTTTTTTTCTCCCTGGGATGCAAATTGTGTATCTAGGTCTGTGATTTTAACTCTTAGTTAGATAAGTCGGTACAGGACTTGCACGCTGAGATGTCATCAGATTGTTGATTCCTTTGTGGGGAAGTTTCTACACGTATCGCCATATGCTGGGATGCCACACACATATGCAACTCAACCAATATATATATGTGTGCAGCATCATGGGGAAATCAGGCGCTGGTCACAATTATGAAATCAAAGACACCAATATGTTTATGCATGTTGAGCACATTTTGTTGAATATTTTTTATATGGGGTCAACCTTTTTTATGTCTATTTAAAAACACATTTTTGTGTGGATTTTACCGAAAAACATTGATCAAAGACGCAAAAAATGTAAATTTAAAGCCAAATGCACTACAGCTTTTAATACTTATTTGACCGCGGACGAGTAGGCCTATACTTGAGAAGCCCAACTGCTTCCCTAGGACCACAATTGAGAGTACTGGCAAGTGAAATGACCTAAATCTTAACACAAGCCTGTTGATGTTTCCTTAAACATATATCTATGTTTTCTTTAACAGGATGATTAGTTCTGTTTAGTTATTTTGCTTCCGATTTCTGGCAATTAATATTGAAAACGGCAAAACTAGTTTAGAAAAGGTATTTCACAGAATCTGAGGAGCTTGATAAGATTTCATACGAACTCAGTGTTGACTCGCACAATATGACTTGGATTGAGAGTCTTCAAATTGAGGGGTAAGGAATTACAGATTGATCTAGAAACAGTTATCATTGATTGAGGAGCAATTTACTCCATAGTAGATCTAAACCTAATCTTAGTATCCTGTCAGGAACTGACTCCTAGACAAAGTTTACTATTACGTAACCGTTTGCACATAAATTACTTCAACCAAAATATTTTTGCAACAGAAAAATGGCACAATAAAATTGATTTGACTCATCTTTAAAAACATGCTTGATTTTGTTGAAAATCAAAATTTTCTTGAATCCAGCTGAATTGTGACAAAATTTAAGCTTTTGATCCATCTGTGAAGAACATTGTGCCTCGCCTCAAATTGATCAGATAATTTTAACTGGCAGTGGGCACTTGTTAGTAAATGAAACTGAACAAAAGAGATGCCGAAAGTAAACAAGTCTATATAATACATTATTGTTGTGAGCTATCCTGCTCATCCTCTAAAGTTCCTTTTTTTTTAAATGTGTTTTTGTTTGTAAGCTATCAAAGCTAATGTATTTATTTATACTGGAATAAAGATGTTTGTATTCAAATAATAAATATAATTTATCTATACGAAGAGATTTATGTTTTGCTGGTGTTTTGCTTTTGCGCTGTCCTGTATTGAGGCCGATAACGTCTCAAGATACACGTATCTGTTGGCACCAGGCCTTCTTCATGTCATCTATCATTTGAATTCATTGCTCGTTAAATTGGGTTATAGATTAACCAAGAACAAACCAACAGTTGGCTATAAATGGTCGCTTTTAAGTACAAGCGGGCTAACCCAGATTTCGGGGGGTTCCAGAAATCCTGACATACACCAAAAGTGGGTATTGCGCTACTTCCTGTTTGGAGAAATTTCTTCTTGTTTTTTAAAGAAACTGAACAAGGAGCTGAAAACTTTAGCTTCAATTTTCTCAAAACATTTTTCAGGATAAAAGCTTAAAAGCGACCATATAGATCTAGAGGGTGTGGCTGGATGCATGGTTTAACACAATCCATATAGATCTAGAGGGGGTGGCTGGATGCATGGTTTAACACAATCCATATAAATCTAGAGGGTGTGGCTGGATGCATGGTTTAACACAATCAGAAACAAATAGTCTAGATCTATCATCATTTATTTTTGTGACAATTCAGCATGTTATTTATACTGTTAACTTATTGTTCCTGGTTAATCATAACCGAATTTATCGAGCAATGAATTCAATTCTAGCTCATCACCAATTTACGGATGAGCTAGAAAATATTAGGGATGAAGTAGGAAATACTGGGGATGAGCTAGGAAAATATTAGAGATCAGCTAAAAAATAATAAGGATAATCTAGAAAATACGGGGAATGAGTTTAAAAATGGTGGGGAATATTCGGGAGGAGCTAAAAATATTAGGGATTAGCTAGAAAATACTATGGATGAGCTCAAAACATTAGGGGTGAACTAGAAAATAATAGGGATATGCGATAATACTGGGGATGAGCTAGAAATACTAATTTGGGATGAACTACAAAATAATGGGGATGAGATCAAAATTATTGGGGATGAGATAAGTCTGCTAAATATTGGGGATAGGCTACAAAATATTGTTGATGTAATTTTTAAAAATATATTGGAGATGAGCTAGAAAATATAAAGGATCTAAAAATATTGGGAATTGGATAACAAAAAATGTTGCGGATGTGATACAAAAATCTTGGCAATATTGCTGATATGCTAAAATTTTATGAGGATGAGCTATAAAATTCTGGTCTTTGAGTTAGAAAATATTACAGATGAGCTAGAAAATATTGGAAATCAGCTACAGTGGTTTAGTTAAAAAATAGTGGGGATGAGCTAAAAAGCTTTGAGGATGTACTAGGAAATAGTTGGGATGATCTAAAAAATATTAGGGTTGAGCTAGAAAATATACTGGGAATGAGTTTGTAAATACTGGGGATGAGCTAGTAAATATTATGGATGAGCTAGAAAATACTGTGGATGAGCTAAAATATATTAGGGATGGAGCTAGAAAATACTGGGGATGATTTTTAAAATATTATGGTTTATCTAGAAAATACATGGGATGAGCTAGAAAATACTGGGTCTGAGCTTGACAATATAAGGAATGAGCGAAAAAATACCTGAGATGAGCTAGAAAATACTGGGGATGAGCTAAAAATATTAGGGATGAGCTAAAAAATATTAAGGATAAGCTAGAAAATATTAGTGGTGAGCTCAAAATAGTAGGGATGAGCTAGAAAATACTGGGTATGAGCTAGGAAATATTGTGGATGAGATTTAAAAAATTATTTGGAATGAGATAGAAATGTCTGTGGAATATTGGGGATGAGCTAGAGAATATTGGGGATAGGCTACAAAATATTGGAGATGAGCCAGAAAAGATAAAGGATCTAAAAATATTGGGATTGAGATAACAAAAAATGTTGTGGGTGAGATACAAAAGTATTGGCAATATTGCTGATGTGCTAAAATTAGTGAGGATGAGCTAGAAAATTCTGGGGTATGAGCTAGAAAAGATTACGGATGAGCTAGAAAATATTGAAGATCAGCTAGAAAATACTGTGGTTTAGCTAAAAAAAAATAGTGGGCATGAGCTAGAAAATTTTTTTTTTTGCTATAAAATACTGGGGATGAGCTAAAAAATACTGGGGATGTACTAGAAAAGAGTGGGAATGATCTAAAATGTATTAGGCTTGAGATAGAAAATATTAGGGATGAGCTAAAATATACTGGGGATGAGCTAGTAAATATTACAGATGAGCTAGAAAATACTGGGGATGAGCTAAAATGTATTAGGGATGGAGCTAGAAAATTCTGTGAATGAGCTAGAAAACACTGTAGTTGGGCTAGAAAATAGCGGGGATGAGCTTGAAATAATTAAAGTCGAGCTATAATAAAATACTGGGGATGAACTAAAAAATAGTGGGGATTATCAGGTTGAACTAGTTTAAAAAATACTGGGGATGAGCTAAAAAATAGTAGGGTTGAGGTATAAAATATGGGACATGAGCTAGAAAATACTAGGGATGGGTGAAAAAATATTTTGAATGATCTAGAAATGAGGAATGCTGTTTTGAGCTTAAAATAAAAAATACGGATATGGAGCTAGAAAATACTGGGGATGTGTTACAAAATATAAGACATGACCTAGAAATTACTGGAGATGAGGTAAAAACTAGGAGGGATGGGCTAGAAATCACTACGGATGAGCTAAAAAAAATGCTAGGGACGGAACTAGAAAGTACTGGGGATGAGCTAGAAATATTGGGTAGGAGCTATAAACTAGAAAATATTACAGATGAGTTAAAAAATACTGGGGATGAGCTAAAAATATTGGGGATGAGCTAGAAAATACTGGGGATGAACAAGAAAATCTTGGGGATGAGCTAGAAAATCTGGCGTTGTGCTAGAAAATACTGGGTAGGAGCTAGAAAAATTTTGGGAGGAGCTAAAAATACTGGGGATAAACTAGAAAATGTTACAGATGAGTTTGAAAATACTGGTGATGAGCTAAAAAATATTGAGGATGAACTAGAAAATTTTGGGGCCGAACTAGCGAAAACATACTGGGGAAGAGCTCGAAAATACTGGGATGAGCTAGAAATTATTACGGATGAGCTAGAAAATACTGGGGACCACTGGGGATGGAACTAGAAAATATTGGGGAATATTTGGGATTAGCTAAAATATACTGTGGAAGAGCTATAAAATATTAGGGTTGAGCTAAAAAATACTGGGGATAAGATAGAAAATAATGTGGAGGGAGCTTGAAAATACTGGAGATGTGCGATAAAATATAAGGCATGAGCTAGAAAATACTGGGAATGAGGTAAAAAATAGTAGGGATGAGCTAGAAATTATTAGGGATGTGCTGGATGAGTTAGAAAATAATAGGGC